AAAAGATTATATATATATATATATATGTATGTATACTTTGTTTGTAAGATGCCAGCATGGGGAAGCACATGGGCAAAGGATAGAGGAAGGGGCAGGCTCAGCACATTTGGGATTAGAAAGCAGCTGAGAGAAGCATCCTGTGACCTTGGAGAGGCAAGCAGGGCAGGTCGTCCAGCCTTCGTTCTGAAAGCAACCAAGCAGCAGGACGGTGCTATGGTACAAGCTGAGTTTAAAGAGCTCCTGAGAGTCAGGTGGTCTACAACCTGTAGACCCATCACTGGAGGTTAAAGCAAGAGGAACTGCTGCTCAAGGCCAGCCTGGTGCCCACCTGCCTTTCAGTCTTCGCTTTCTGCAAGGGTTTACCTCCTCGCCCCTCAGCTGATCTACCAGCCAGCCTTTGACCATCCCATTCTCTCACCCGGGTATTTATGTTTTGGGTTTTTTTTGTTTGTTTGTTTTGGGGGGGTTGTCTTTTTGAGTCAGGGCCTCCCTGTAGCACCAGCTGACCTGGAGCTCACTGTATAAACCAGGCTGGCCTGGCCTTGAACTCAGAGATCCACCTGTCACTGCCTCCCAAGTACTGGGACTAAAGGCATGCATCACCACACCTGGCTTATGTTTTTTGACAGGATCTCCTGCAGCTCTGGCTGGCTTCAGAATGTAGAACTCCTGATCCTCCTGTCTTCACTCCCTTTCTAAGTACTGGGATTACAGGAGTGTACCACCTTGTCCGGTTTCTACAGTGCTGAGGATCAAACCCAGGGCAAACTCTACCAACTGAGCTATAGCCCCAACCTTCAAGACTAATGAAAAACAAAAACAAATCTTGAGCATGGTGGTGCTTCCCCCTTAACTTTATTTTTTTATTTTTTATTGGACTTTTGTACATTTCAAATCATTTCATATCAAATTCAGACCCCCCACCTTTAATGACACTGGAGAGGAGAAGCAGGCAGGACTCTGAGTTTGAGGCCAGCCTAATCTATAGGGAGTTGTGGGCCAACCAGTACTACATAGTGAGACCCTGTCTAAAACAAACAAACAAAACCCACCTAATCTCAACATAATGACACAAACTAATTAAGAGACAGCACTTAGGCAGCCGTAGTGGCCCATACCTGCAATTTCACCACGCTGGAGGCTGAGGCAGGGCCATCTTAAGCTCCAGGCCAGCTTGGGCTACATAGGTGACCCCCTGCCCCAAGACACACTTCTCACTTTAAATAATTTAAGTAAATAAGACATTTATTGAAAGTTTCCCAGAGATAAAGAGGAAGGGATTACACAACAAAAAATTCAGTAATCAGGCGTGGTAGCACAAGCCTTTAATTCCAGCACCCAGGAGGCAGAGGCAGATCTGGTGTACAGAGGAAATTCCAGGCCAGCTGAGGATCTAAGGGGACTCTGTCCCCAAAAAGCAATCCGAAAGCAAAACAGAGACAAAATAAAAAACATCAACTTGAAGTCTCCTCCTTTGACTGTCCCCCAACCCTGAAAGTTCTGCATACAGTAGACACCAAATAATTGCTCTCAGCAAAAAATTTCAAACCCCTGCTTTTCTCCTACCACCCTCTCTCCTCCAATTCCCAGCCCTAGTTCCTTCTCTCCACAGTCCTTTATGCAGGAGTAATCTTATCTTGGTTTTGTTTTGTTTTGTTTTTTGTTGATCAGAATCTCTGGGTTAAGGAAAGGAAAGGTTCCTTAGGAGACTGCAGTGACTTTGGGGCTGCTCTGAGCAAATACATACATATAGTAGTAGGGATCAAACCAAGAGCCTCTTAGGCAATACTCTAAAACCTGAGTTACAGAGTGAGACCCCGTATCAAAATAAAAACATGCTGTCTTTGTGACACAAACATGTATTCTGGAGTTGTACAATCTGATTTTCACAATTCTTTAGAAAAATTCATTTTAACAGTACCTTACAGAAGCCCAAGAAAGAATCCACTTCAAGTTGATAAGCATGAACTTGAGAGCCTGTGTCCACTGTTGCTCAGTGTTCAGGTGAGTCCTGATGGAGCAGCACTCCTGTCTGCCCCAAGCATCCTCAATCAGGCCTTCCTTCACATGGATCACATAGGGAAGACAGAGGTCCTCTTTGCCCTTCCCAACCTCCACCACCAACTGCTGAAGGCAGTCTAGAAAAGCCGTCATTCCGAGGTCAAATTTGTTATTCAAGAAAACACTGTGACTCCCGTCGGAGAATAAGGGCAGCATCACCCCATCACTTGTCAAAGACTTGAGGTAGGAATGGTTTCCGCAGGGGACAGGTTGGTACCTCTGGAACTGAAGTCCAACTGTCTTGGACAAGGCCAGCAGCAGCAAGACCGTCTGCCCCCAGGCAGCGCTGATTTCATTCCACCCCACTCGGAGCCCCGGGAGGCAGCCCAACCTAAAGTTGTTGATGATGCCCAACGGGCCGTCATCCTTGATGGTGAAGGTGGTATTGAAGATGTTGGTCTTCTTCAGTCGCCACAGCTGCCTCTGGGCGTACTGCAGCTGGTTCTCCACACTGCTCAGCTGGTCCATCAGCTCCAGCTGTTGCCACGTCAACGCGGAGTATTCCTTCTGGTACTGTTTCTTCTGTTGGTACAGCTCCTCGGTCTCTGCCTGGGTGGCCCTGAGCTCCTCGGACACTTCCGCCTGATGTTGTTCCATGTCCTCTAGTTCCTGAGCCAGCTTGGCCTCCTCCTGCTCCAGGCCCCTCAGCTCAGCCCGCAGCTCTGCATGCAACGTCTCCCTCTCCTCCTCACCCATCGCCTCGCTGTCCACAAACCGTCTGTAGCTCTGGATATCAGATTCTATCAGAGTGAGTTGGGCATCTAGGTGCATCAATAGATTGTCGGTACAGTCCTCGCACAGCGGGTTACCCACATCTTTTTGGCCAGAGAGGATTTCAAAGACTTCTAAGGTGGCGTTTTGGATGCTGTTCAAACTTTTCATGGAGGCAACCTCACCGATCAAGGTGAAGCAAGTGCCACTTTCCTCGGATGTCCCAACACAGTCAGGAAGGGGTTTGCTGGAGGCACTGGCCTGTAATTTCCCAGAAACTGGCATCTTTTCGGAGAGGCTGGCATGGTCCTGGGCGTCCAAGGGCTCTTCTTCCTGCGGTCCACCTTGCTGTTCTGAGAGCTGGCTGAATCTCAGGGGCTGGCTGCAGCGCTGGCACAGAAAGCAGACAGAAGACATCTTGGAGGCCCGTCCCCTGGAGGCCCGGGTTCCGCCTGAGTCTAGGTTTCCTCCTTCTGTCCTGTTGCTTGAGGTTTAACGCCTTTTAAGCTTTCCTAGGAGAGTGAATCTTGGGAATTGTGTCCCTCCCACTTGTCACTTTCCTACTTAATACCCTGTCACAGTCACAGGTTTACCTGTAGATCTGCTTTAGCTCCTATAGACCAGATATTCTTTGGAAAAAGAATGTCATCTCCTTTGCTCCTTTAATGTTTGCAAGACACACCTTAAAGCCAATCTTTCTAAACCTAAAATCAAATCATAATTTGTCCCACTTAAAATGTTCAAAGCCTTGCCAAGCATGGTGTCATTTGCCTTTAATCCCTGCACTTGGGAAGCAGAGGCAGGCAGATCTCTGTGAGTAGGATGCCAGCCTGGTCTACATAGTGAGTTCCAGAACAGCTAGGGCTAAGGGAGACCCTGTCTCAAAAAAGACAATAATAACAATAACAACAATAATAATATTATTAATAGGCATTCATGGGAAATATTTTCTTTAATTAATGAAACAAACAAAAATAATTTGAAGGTATGCATTTTGCCATCAGCTCAGCCACAGCTCAAGATGAGATGGGCATGGAGCCAGGTGTGGTGGCACACACCTTTAGTCCCAGCACTTGGGAGGCAGAGGCAGACGGATCTCTGTGAGTTCCAGGCCAGCCTGGTCTGCAGAGCAAGTTCCAGGCTAGCTGGTACAACAGGAACAAAAGCACC